GAATGCTCTAATTTGACATTTCTGTGTAACTACAATAATCAGCGGATATTCAATCGAGGGAACCCTAAATCACTGCAAATTCTTGAGATTATTTCTAAAGTGGAAGGAAGATGAACTTATGTTCAGTTGTTCTATTAGTAATTTATTTAAAGAATTTTAACCCTTTGAGAACGAGTAAGCTGAACTAAACATCCCGGCTGCGGCATCGCATGCCGAACCTGACCACAGAGCTCGGGAGGCTCCACGTGCGGCAGACAGAGCTGCACTCCATCTCCGACACTCACCAGTTCCCTGCCCTCCATCAAGTCTCCTCGTGTATAAAATGGGAATAACAACAGTAACCATTCCATAGGGATGTTGTGACAATTAAATGAGATGAAGCACAAGAATGAGTCACAGAAATGAATGATAAACTAAGAACGAGTCACAGAAACAATAAATTCAATAATTATCATTAACGATTCAGCTATTCTTTTCTATTCAGAATACACGCCCTCCTTGGTTAATCAAGTTTGTTACCAATCAAGATCACTATATCTGCCACTCTAAATATTCTCTTCCATGATCTAAAAATTATTCTTTCAGATAGTATTAAATTGTTTTTTAATCAAATAAATTGGGAATTTGACATCGATGATGTCACAACTGGTGGGAAAACAGTATGTGATGAGAAGAAAAGACTGACAGATCGGAAACCTAGGAAGCTTATTTCCTCAAAGGAAGGTAACACTGATAAATGACATCTTTGTAGAATAATCTCTCAGCATCTTACTTCCTTGCAGGCAAAATGGCTTGCCAGGGGTCAGAGTGTCTACATGCATGGCACACCCACCTGTCACTCAACCTGGCCTGGTTGAAGGGCTGGCCATTTGGCTAATACACACAAAAGAGCGACACTCCAAAGCAATCTCAAGGTAGGGGTATCCTTGGGAGTTTGGATCCAATGCCAGCTTTCACAAATAGAGCAAGAAAACGAGCCATCGTCTTGCGAAAGCATCCATCTGGCAAGTTTCATTTAATTATCATGGGCAACTGTGTGATCGAACTGGAAAGTAGGACATAACACAAAAAAACAGTAGAACTTTATGAGAGTGCTATTTGTTGGAGCCTGCAGGAGCCATACGGTGGGCCTCTCTGGACTCGATTCAAGTGTCACCCCTTTTCCAAGCCATCCTTAACTCTCCAAAGTCAAGGTGGTTGATCTCTCCTCCCTATTCCTGTAGCACTTTAGAGAGCCTGATACTCTACAGTATACTGGTCTGCCTCTTCCACCTGACTGTATGTTCTCAGGGCAGGAAACCACGTCTTACTGGTTGTACCTCTGACCCCCAGTAGAGTTTGATCTGTGATGGACACACAGTAAAAACTATTGAATGATTAAGTATCCCTAAAAAGAACAAGTCCCTCGGATTCCAAAGGAATTCGATTAGACCCACAAGAGGAGACCTGGAAGAACAGCCCAGTGGCAACTTTCCTGTACGGGGGCACCATTTCCACTCTCTTTCGTGATAGTGGGCTGTAAGGAAAGAAACCCACACACACATCTAGCCATGTGAATTTTTTTTTAAATACTGAGATTAATGATGAGGGGGAAGATCTATACAGACAGCAAATATACAGGACTCAAATGGGAATTGAGTTCATAAGTCAGATTTCTTCATACCAACATTCCTTTTATAACTCATTCTTCCTCATGCCACATGATAAATTTTAGTGGAATCGATTCAATAGCAAAAAACAAACAAACAAACAAAAAAACAAAAAATGCTGAAAGGGTACCTTAAAATGTTAATGATGGTTTATCTCTGGGTAATAGGGTTATGGATAGTTTCCATTTTATTCTTTTGACTTATTTTTTAATTTTTGTTTACAATGAACATGTAGCTAATAATGAACCTATAAAACATTTTTTAATTAAAAAAACTAGAACAGCTCAAAATTACATAATCAATCTTTAGCTTTGGTTATACGTGCTCCACAGCTCCACAATCCAAGCCTTCCAGCGTGACACCTGGTAGCAGTTACACAACAGCCAGGCCTGGCAAGGGCACGGTCTGGCTGGCCTACTTGCTCCTGTGTGCTGGTTAATTAGGCAGATTTTTTAGCGACTATCTCAGTTATAACCTGAGGCTAGAGGAGCAACTTTTGTCCTGTTGGGCCTCAGGTTGGCCAATCAAGCTCAGGGGGTCCTCAAATTTCAGTGTGTATTTGAAGCACTAAGAGGTTAAATGCAGATTCCAGGGCCCCACCCACAGAGATTTAGTAAATTGAAGCTCTGACCCAACAATGCACTTTTTAAAAGTACCTTCAAGGGACCCTGCTCAGGCCAGGACTAGAGTGAGGGAAGAAAAGCACTTAGGGTGCAGAATTAAGAAGGCGCTCCTCCTCAAGATCACTCAAATCTGGGGCTGGCACCATGAGTGAGCACCTCTTTAAATTTTGCACCTTAAGTACCTCTCTTTTTCTCACCCTAATCCCAGCCCTGTCCCTAATGTTGGTGATGAGAGACCTCATTCTGAAAAGGCTAAGTTTCATGAGTACAGTTTGGGCTGTACCTGGCAAGTTGCACTGAGAAAATGTTTAATTCACAAAAAATGAGCTGGGTATAAATCTGATTCCTAAAAATGAAAATCTGGGCTCATCTGCATTTTATGAGTGCCTCAAAGCACTGTAAGGCATAAAATATATATTTTGCTTTTAAAGATACATTACCCTCTGCTATTCTTCAGGTTAAATTTGAGCTAAGGTTTTCTTAGATATTCTACAATCAGCAGTATGCCAAATGACACATTCCCTAATTCCTCCCAAGTTGGAGGTTTAGATAAGCCTAAGAGGTGTATAAGTTATGCATTTCCTATGGAGATAAAAATAGCCCCCTTTCAAAGCACTGTGGACCTGAGTCATTCTGGTGTTTCCAATAACACTGATCAGCTTGTAGGCAGATTTCAGAGTGCTTCTAATTCTACTGAAAATTTATTGCTCATGCAATTCAAAGTCCTAACCATTCGATGATTTACCCCACAGATATGTGATCTTGAAAAATATTCCTATTTTATCACCATCAGGTCCACACAGAAGAACAAAATGAATTTCAAAGAACAGAGCACAGATACCAAAGAGCTGAGGGTGGGGTGGGGATGAGAGGAGAGTTACACAAGTAACGGGTGGACACATTTTTGAGTACAGCTCTTCACTCCCGATCACCTCGACCAAGTCCTGCTATAAATGCACACGGGCTCACCCTACAATCAGCAAAGAACAGACTTAAGTCTCCAAATAATAAGACTAAACAAAGAGGAATCTAGGAATGAATTTTTTATTGATATATAACTGACATATTAGTTTCAAGTGTAAACATAATGATTTGATATTAGTATGTACTGCGAAATGATCACCATAGTAAATCTAGTTAACATCTGTCATCATACTAGTTGCAAAAATTTTTCTCTAATAATGATAACTTTTAAGATCTACTCTCTTAGCAACTTTCAAATATGCAATACAGTGTTAACTACAGTCACCATGCTGTACATGACATTCCCAGGACTTGTTTTATAATTGGAAGTTTATATCTTTTGACCCCCCCGCTTCACCCATTTTGTGCACCCCATACCCCCCACCTCTGTAAACAAACCACTAGTGTTCTTGGTATCTATGAGTTCCAATTTTTTAAAAAAGATTCCACACGGAAGTGAGATCGTACAGCATTTGTCTTTCTCTGTCTAACTTATTTCATTTAGTATAATGCCTTTGAGGCCCATCCATGCTGTTGCAGATGGCAAGATTTCATTCTTTTTTGATGGCTGAGTAACATTCCACTGTACATATGTACCACATTTTCTTTATCTATTCGTCCATCGATGGACACTTAGGTTGTTTCTGGGATGAATTTGTTTTTCTGATGGTAGGTCTGCTGGTGTTTAATGGCAATACAGCAATGCTTTGTAGCAATTTATCACTTTCCTGATTTGAGTTTGAGTCAAATCTATATTCCTGCCAAAATACTGTTATAATAAGGAAGTTAAATCAGCTAAAATAGGAGCACTAAAAAAATTCGGGTTACCTTTTACTTATAAGAGAAATATTATACTTTTAAAAAATCCCCAGAATAAATATTTCAAAAATTTATTTTGTTTTGTACATTCTTAAAGATAGCCAGAAATTGGCATGTGGACACTTGAATAGAAGGTTAACAAAACAAAA